TTGGATTATGTGTTCTTTTGATAACCAATTTCTTGAGTTCTTTGTATATTTTGGAGATCAGACCTCTGTCTGAAGTGGGGTTAGTGAAGATCTTTTCCCATTCTGTAGGCTATTGTTTTGTCTTGTTGACCATGTCTTTTGCTTTACAGAAGCTTTTCAGTCTCAGGAGGTCCCATTTATTAATTGTTTCTCACAGTGTCTGTGCTGCTGGGATATTTAGGAAGTGGTTCCCTGTGCCAATGCGTTCAAGTGTACTTCCCACTTTCTCTTCTATAAGGTTCAATGTGGCTGGCTTTATGTTGATGTCTTTGATCCATCTGGACTTGAGTTTTGTGCATGGTGATAGATATGGGTCTATTTTCATTCTTTTACATGTTGCTATCCAGTTATGCCAGCACCATTAATTAAATATGCTTTATTTTTTCCATTTGATATTTTTCGCTTCTTTGTCAAAAATCAGGTGTTCGAATGTGTGTGAATTGATAATTCGGGTCTTTTTTGGGGGGTGGGAGGGAGACACTATCTCTGGTTGACCTGGAACTCACAGAAATCCTCCTGCCTCTACCTCTTGAGTGCTGGGATTAATAAAGGCATGCAACACCCTGTCCACCAAAGTGTACACTTGATCTGTTGGGACCTTGGTTAAAGAAATGGTAGAGTTTGCAGAACAGAGGAGCTCTCTCTGGGGTGCCTTTTCAGAGTTGAGAGATTCCTGCCCTACCAATCGCCTCCATCTGGAAGGAAATAGCTGTCGTAGATCAGACCAAAAGAAGTCAGTGAACAGCTTATGGTAGCGGACATCCAGAACTACATGGGGAAACCCTATCTCAGAAAAAAAAAAAAGCCAGTGGAATTAGCACCTGAGGGCCTGTCTTTGTGAAAATGAAGAGGAGGCATCAAGGAGGGTGCGCTGCCAGCTGGAGTCAGCAGTGTTTCAGGCGTAGGAAAGAGGGAAGTGCGGAAGGGCAGCCCAGTGAAGAGCTCACAGAGCTGCCTCGCGCAGCTGTGGCAGTCTAGGTGTAACGGAAGTTTGCTCTCCTCTCTTGCTTGAAAGTTAGATGTTTCCCATCTTTTTAAAAAATTTTTAGATTTATCTTCTGTGTACATGTGGTTGCCTACATGTATGTGTATAACATGTATGTGCAGTGCCCAGAGTTCAGAAGAAAGCATCAGATTCCCTGGAACTGGTTGTGAGCCGTCATGTGGGTGCTGGGAACTGAACCCCGGTCCTCTGCTACAGCAGCGGGTGCTCCTAACCAGTGAGCATCTATCTCGCCAGCACTGATGTTTCCCATCTCTTGTTTGTTTCTCTGGTGCTGAGGATCGAATCCAGGGCTTCATGAATGCTAGACAAACCTGAGGCATATCCACAAAGTATATTTAGAGTAAATTGTCAAATTTGCCGGGCAGTGGTGGCGCACACCTTTAATCCCAGCACTAAGGAGGCAGAGGCAGGTGGATCTCTGTGAGTTCAGGCCAGCCTTGTCTACAAAGCAAGTTCCAGAACAGCCAGGCAACACAGAGAAACCCTGTCTAAAAAGCAATGCCAAAAATGTCAGTCACCCAGATAATTCACAGACTCATTAACACTGCTAACATCAGTCTTGTAATTTCTGGGAAGGATGTGCTTCTAATAGGTATGTCAAGAATCAAATTCCTCTCCACACCAAAAAAAAAAAAATTATCTTATTGGGGTTTCAGTTGAATGCCATTTCCTTGTACTTCATTGGAGCAGATCCTGCATTTAGACATTTGAAAAATATCTTCACATGTAGAAAACTATTACTTCCAAGTAGAAACCAGTCAACTGGGAAAAGTGATGGTAGAGGGGCAAAGGAGCTGGAAACTAAGGATGGCGGACCGTATCTTTAATGTTGTTCTCAGGAGGCTGAGGCAAGAGGATTGCCAGGAGTTTGAGGTCAGTCTGGGCAACATTGAAAGGCTTTGTCTCAGAAATAAAAAAAGCCACACATGTTAGTCCAAGGGATTTGACCTGTAAAAAGTAAAGGGGCCGGGAGGAAGTTTTCTAGTGATGGTTAATAATTCGGGTCCTGAGCTCTTAAAGGAGGTTCTGAGTTCCTGTGTGTGTGAGCGTCACGATGCCAGTGTGATCAGGTCATCTTGACTGAGGTGGTCTTCTACTGATGATGTGGAACCATCGCAGGCTGTTCAGATGGCCTCGGCTGCCTGTTTCCTTCCAGAGTCCTGATGGAAGTGGTGGTTGTGATCCCTTCCAAAGCTTAAATCGGAGAGAGCCACACTCATCTTTGATTCTAGCACTTATGAGGCAGAGGCAGGCCAAACTCTTGAGTTCAAGGACAGCCAAGGCTACATAGTGAGCCCCTGCCTCAAAGTAACCCTTTCCTTCACCAACCAAAGCAACAACAAACCTGGTGGTTCTGCTTGAAACCCTAGTATTCCTGAGGCAAGGGGGAGGATTACACGCAAGTTGAGGCCAGCAGCCTGTCTATATTGAGAATTCCAGGTCAGCCAAGGGTTACCTGTGTCAAAACATACACACAGAAGCAAGAACTAACACCCCACTAAAGTGTTAGGTGCATATTGTAAGGGAGAAAAGCCTTAAATAGTTCAAAAAAGAGCACTCACATGTTAACCAGTTCTCCTAACTACCAAGAGGCCTCCTAGTATTTCTCTAGGAATAGAACAGTGCCAGACATAAGAAATTTAAAATATTCTCTACCATTCTGTACTTAACTATCTTCCCGTTTTCTTTTTCTTCTGTCTTCCTCTCTCTTCTCCTCCCTCCTTCCCTTAAGTTTAGGGCTGTCCTGGAACTCACTATGTAGACCTGGCTGCTGCCCCCACACTGACTAGAGCTCCAGCTGCCTCTGCTTCTCTTCCCCCCAGGTGCTGGAATTAAAGGCATGCATCACTATGCCGGCTCAGTTTTTTTTTTTTTTTTTTTCCCCCGAGACAGGGTTTCTCTGTGGCTTTGGAGCCTGTCCTGGAACTAGCTCTTGTAGACCAGGCTGGTCTCGAACTCACAGGGATCCGCCTGCCTCTGCCTCCCGAGTGCTGGGATTAAAGGCGTGCGCCACCGTCGCCCGGCTCCGGCTCAGTTGTTTGAAATACAAACCATAAACAGTTAAAAGAGATAATGGCAGAAAATCAGGAAAATGTAGCTGGAATTAGGGTTGTTCTGACAGTGCTATGTACGGTTTTAAAGGACGTAATGAAGAGGGATAGTAGTGTCTTTGAAGATGATGCTGTAATACATGCTAAGAATTTTGAGACGTAAAGCAAAAACAAAAAAAAATGGAGACAGCAAACCAATTACTTACTTTTTAAAAAGATTTGTTTATGTGTATGGGTGTTTTGCCTGCATGTATGTCTCTGCAACACATGTTGTGCCCGGGGAGGCCAGAAAAGGGTGTCAGATGCTCTTAGCTGGAGTGTGGTTGCTTGACCATACTTGGTCTTCTTCACCGCTGAGCCATCTCTCCAGCTTCTCGTGGCCTCTTGTTTGTTTTTTGAGACAAGGTTTCTCTGTTTATATAGCCTTGGCTGTCCTGGAACTTGCTCTGTAGGCCAGGCTGGCCTCAAACTCAAAGAAATCCACTTGCCTCTGCCGTCTCAATGCTGAGATTAAAGGTGTGCACCTCTGCCACCTGACTTTCTGGCTTTTGTTACCTCTTTATTTCCTTGGGCCTACCCCTTTCTTTCTTACCGGGGTCCAGCTAGCTAGTCTTTGGACTATATAAACTTGTGTCAGTGGGATTCCTGTAACTAGTGAAGGAGCGTGTCTCTGTTCATAGCCTGTAAGACCTAACCATACTACCCAACTAAGCTGGTCTTAAAATTATGATGTAGCTAAAGATGGTCTTGAATTCCTGTCTCTTCTTCTGGGTTTCTGGGGTTATTATACTTGTGTGTACAGTGCTGGGGAGTTTGGTTTCAGTACACCAAGTAGTGTGTGTTGAAAAGAGAGTAGAGTGCTGGTCATGCTCACTGACACGTGTAGTCTTAGCATGTAGGGATTTGATCCCTGGAACTCTTGTAAAAGCTAGATGTGTAAAGAGTTAGATACACAAAAGTGGGCATGTAAGTAACTTTAGTACTCTCACTGCAAGATGGAAAATAAAGAAATGCCTGGAAGGTTTTGGGCCAGCTACTGGAGTCCACTGTACAGTTGAGAAACCAGAGAGGTCCTGACCTAGGAGGTGGGAGGGGGTGGCTCACCAACAGGTTCATTACCTGCTGGGCCATTTTGTTGGCCCCACTGTGCCCAGTTCAGTCCTGTTTTATACTTGATCTTAGCCAAAGGCAGGGAAGTGATTGATCCTGTTGATTTTATATCTCACGATCGTGATACATGAATCTGGACATGAGATTACACAGCGCTGAGCAACTGATGCTCCCCTGATTGGGTCTCTAGCCCAGCTCTGGTCGTGGCGGGTTTAGATAACTGTGAGTAAAGCCCTAGTTCCTGGTCATCAACAGTTTTAATTTTTAGATAACTGTGAGTAAGGCCTGGTTCCTGGTCATCAACAGTTTTAATTTTTAGATAACTGTGAGTAAAGCCCTGGTTCCTGGTCATCAACAGTTTAATTTTTCTGGCTAGTAGAGATGGCTCACCAAGTCACTTCCAGACAAACTTAGTGACCTCAGTCTGACCCCTGAGCTCTGTAAACGTAGAAGAGAATTGTTTCCCTAGTTTTCTGACCTCTGCACATGCACCACACATGCAATAATAAATACTTTTTCATTTGGGAAGGTTTAGAGTTTCTCAGTTAATTTTGATAACGCATTCTAACAGGTTAAGTAGTAGTTGATGGCATAGTAAATCAGATCTTTGGGTTCTGTCATTTGTGGAAGGAACTAAGGAGAGGAAACAGATGTGTAAATATACAGCTCTTTTAACCTCTTCCACGGTGAAATTACATAAACTTTTCTATACTTAAGGTTATTTTGACGAGATCTAAAGGGATGCATTATATTGAGAGCTCTTTGGAATGTGAAATTGTATTCCTTTCTTACAGATATTGAAGCACAGATTCGAGAAATTCAAGGCAAGAAGGCAGCTCTTGATGAAGCCCAAGGAGTGGGCCTTGATTCCACAGGTTATTATGACCAAGAAATTTATGGTGGAAGTGATAGCAGATTTGCTGGATATGTGACATCAATTGCTGCAACTGAACTTGAAGATGTAAGTTGTAAGAGGCAAGGTTTTTTGTTTTTTGTTTTTTAGTTAAATGTAGGGGATTTTTCTGTTTGAGTTGCATGGTCAAAAGAAAAGCTATGTAGAGTTTACCGATTGAGTCTGGTTTGTGTTGTTCACATGCTCATGTGAGGTTCATCCTTTGGAGGATGGCAGCCTACCAGGGGCCATACGCTTAACCCCCTCTCCCCCATCATCAGCTGTCAGTAGTAGCTCCTCAGCTAGGGGCTGGAGTTGATGCACTGCGTGTTACTGGCTTGACCATGTGCAGGCAGCCGCAGCTGCTGAGTTGATGGATTCAGCAGTCGTCTTGTACAGAAGACACTGCTTCGCTCCCATCCTCCCCACCTGGCTCTTAAAGCCTTCCCTTTCTGACATAGTTCCTGAACCTTGAGAGGAACGTGTGTATAGACGTTCCATTTTGGCTGAACAAAGTCTTTTTTGTGGAAATTCCACATAACTTTTCTTTTGACCATCTCAAACATTCAAATTTATTGAAATGGCTATTTAATCAGTTATTACATAGTTGCAATTAGACAAAATTTATACAGATTATCAAGCTTGTTGATGGTTTTTTTTTTTTTTTTTTTGAGACAGGATCTCACATTATAACCTTAGATGACTTCTAACTCACCATATAGATGATTGGTCTCATTCATAGAGATCCACCTGCCTCCCAAACACTGGGATTGAATGTGTGTCCCCACCCCATTCCTGGCTCAGACTGGTTATTTTTATAAAATTCAAACCACATCTTTTGTCACTGACACTTTGTCCCCTTTATAGAAAGGTGTTTATATGATTGTCCCGAAGATGAGGTTCTAGAAGCTGGTCGGAGACTAATGTTTGCAGAGGGTATCCCTACCCTCTGTATCCATGTGCATGTGTGTGTTCTGAGACGGGGTCTGATATGTTAGCTCATCCCTACCCTCTGTGTCCATGTGCATGTGTGTGTTCTGAGACAGGGTCTGGTATGTTAGCTCATCCCTACCCTCTGTGTCCATGTGCATGTGTGTGTTCTGAGACGGGGTCTGGTATGTTAGCTCATCCCTACCCTCTGTGTCCATGTGCATGTGTGTGTTCTGAGACGGGGTCTGATATGTTAGCTCATCCCTACCCTCTGTGTGCATGTGTGTTCTGAGACGGGGATCTGATAGGTTTAGTTCATGCTGCCCTTAACCTCGCAATTGTCCTGCTTCTGCCTGAACCAAGTGCTAGGCTTAGGAACTAAGTGTTGGCCCAAGCACTCAATACGTTCTCTTACCTAGGATCCAGTGATGGCTCTGTGTTCTAGAAGTTAGGGAGCAAGTCCCTTCTTTTTTTTTTTTTTTTTTTGTTTTGTTTTGTTTTTGTTTTTTGAGACAGGGTTTCACATTTGGCTGTCCTGGAACTTACTTTGTAGACCAGATTGGCCTTAAGCTCACAGGGGTCTGCCCGCGTCTGCTGGGATTAAGATGTACACCACCACTGCCTGGTGTGGCACACGTCTCACACTAGAAGGAGCCGTTTATATTGCCATGTAGACATACTGTGAAGGAAGCCAGTGCATTTGATGGCAGTCGCTGTTGACGGGTGGTTAAGTAGCTGAGGAGTTGACAGTCTGCCTGTGGCAGTCGCCAGACGGCGGATGCCGTCCTGGTAGCGCTCTGTCTGACGGGTTTGTGACTTTGATTGCAGGATGACGATGACTACTCATCCTCGACCAGTCTGCTCGGTCAGAAGAAGCCTGGGTACCATGCCCCCGTGGCACTGCTTAACGACATACCGCAGTCGACAGAGCAGGTGAGTTGAAGGGAGTGAGTGTCCGTGGAAGCATCTGGCTGGCTTGGGAGCCAGCAGTGACTGTTTTGTAGAGGTGATCCTCACAGGAAGTGCTGACTTCAGGAGACTGACCAGCCACAGGCACTTGTTTCTTTCCTTCATTTTTTAAATTTTAAGTAAATCACTTTATTTATTTATTTGGTTTTTTTTTTTTTAATAATTTTTTTATTAAGAAAAGAAGAAAAAAAACATAAACAAAAAACAAGTTTCCACCTCCTCCCAGCCTCCCATTTCCCTCCCTTATTTGGGTTTTTGAGACAGGGTTTCTCTGTACCTTTGGAGCCTGTCTTGGAACTAGCTCTGTAGACCAGGCTGGTCTTGAATTCAGAGGCTTGCCTCTGCCTCCCGAGTGCTGGGATTAAAGGCGTGTATCATCACTGCCTGGCTTTGCTTTTTATTTTTATGTCCATTGGTGTTTGAGGGAGTCGGATCCATTGGATCTTGGATCCAGCTTACAGTTGTGAGCTGCCATGTGGGTGCTGGGGATTGAACCAGAGTCCTGGAAGAGCAACTAACGTAATCGCTTGAGCTATCTCTCTAGCCTCTACACTTTTTTCTTAAGCAGTGGTTTGTTTATTTGCTATGTGTCTGGGAGGTGTTGGTATTAAATGAGCATGCTCTTTTCCAGTACGATCCATTTGCTGAGCACCGTCCTCCGAAGATCGCAGACCGGGAGGATGAGTACAAGAAGCACAGGCGGACCATGATAATCTCCCCAGAGCGTCTTGATCCCTTTGCAGATGGTAATCCTTTCCCACTCTTCCATACGGATTCAGAAATTTATTTTCATTAAGTTGTCTTTAGCCCTTTGATTTTTTTTGGCATGCTTATGAATTTACTTTTCGTTTTTAAAGACCCCCTTATAGATTTGTATAGATTTGGTTGAAGTCACAGATGCCATATTCTTCATCTTTATAATGCAAGTTTTCTTTCCAGGTAGAAGGACAAGAAAATAATGAGCCAATGCCATAGAAACGCAAAGGGTTAAAGGTTTTTCTTTTACTTTTGTTTTGGGTACTCTTGGTATACTTTGAACAAATGTATTTTTCTGCTCAAAATACTTTCAAATTATTGCAAGTTTTTATTCCAAATTCTATAGCTTTGGATTGTTACTTTTGAGAAACTGTTTCTCACGCTAGAGTCCCCTCATTGTTATAGCTTAGTAAAAATGCACCTCCTTTGCTCTATGCAAGTTTGTAGTTAAAACAGAAGTTATATACAAAGACTTTGGTGTTTGTGTAGTTGGAGTCTGTTGTGCTAATTGTAGCGTGCAAGGGGCATAGTGAACCTGATGGAAGCTTTCCTCGGGTGAGTGAGCCCCACCATCCCAACTAAGTGCCTGTTTGTGAAAATAGATTCTGCTGCAGGTTTGCAAATTAGATTTTTCAGCCTGCATGAATTAATAAGGATATTCTTTTCTTTACTTGCATAATTGTAATTGATTTAAACATGTATGTCAGAATTCACAGGCCCATACTAACTGTCCTTAATTTCTCTCCTACAGCAGTACTGCTATATGCCAGTCCTGTCTGCATTCTTAAGGGTGCAGCTCAACACATCCTCTCTAGATTATGGTGAAAAAGTATTCCAAAGGAAGTCTTATCAGAGCTAGTGTCAGAAAGAATGACACTACCAATTGGGCATGATCGTCAGCATAGGAGATGTCTTAGCATTTTATTATTTTGTCCTAAATTTTAATGCTATACTACTTGTATAGCTAATTATCACATTTCTGAAGCATAGTGTGCCTTTGTTGATCTTGTTATATACTGTTTGGGCTTCTTTAAGATATTTTGCAGTTTGAAAAGCAAATACTGAAACTTACCAAGAGACTAACACATCTCTTTGTACACCACTTGTCTTTGTGTTCATTGTAATAACTGGTAGAAATAATATATCTGAAGTAGTATGTTTCCAGTTGTAATTGTACTTTTTAAGAAATAGAATTATATTTTGGGTCAAGAAAAATAATCTTTAAAAAGCACGAAGCCCTTTTTAGTAATGTGACTTGAGTAAGATTGTAGGTATATTAGATTTTCTCAGTTACTACTGTTTAGATCACTGTATGGAGAACTTATGTAGTCAGTTACTGCAGTCAGGATTTTAACAGCTTGCAACAGGTAATGTTTTGAATATAAATATCTTTCCAAAGTGTTACTAATGGTAAAGAGATAATTTTCTAGGCTTCTATTCTGCTGCTTGAAGTCAGAACTGCTGATGGAGACAAAGGCACGAAAGTGTACGTATTCCGGATTAGCAACCCAGGAACCCATCACTTCTGAAGACTAAACTGTGCTGTCATTTTGCTTATCTATGCATTAAAATAATTGTTTTAAACTGCTGTAGATATGTTTGTGTTCAAACAGGTTAAATTGATCAGCAAACTCAATAAAAAGTAAGATGTATAATTATCAAAGTTTTCCACCAAAAAATAAATTAAATGATTATGGAATAACGTAATATTAGAGCAGGGCAGAGAAATCAGCTGACCCTAATGCCTTTTATTTATTGTGCTCTTTCCTGTTGCTGTTCTTTTCTGCAGGAGGGAAGACCCCTGACCCTAAAATGAATGCCAGAACTTACATGGATGTTATGCGGGAACAGCATTTGACTAAGGAAGAGGTATGTAATGGTAGAGAGATGATGTAAGAAAACTTAAAAGAATTTTATATTTTAGTTTTTATTGTTCATAGCAAGTTTTGTTTTCTTTTTGAGACAGGGTTTCTCTGTATAGCCCTGGCTATATTAGAACTCGCCCTGTAGATCAGGCTGGTCTTGAACTCACAGAAATTTGCCTGCCTTGATCTCCTGAGTGCTGAGTTTTAAAAGTGTGTGCTACCGGCAAGCATTTTTTTTGGGGGGGGGGGTTGATGCGGAGATCCACCTAGCCTACTTTGGTCTCCTACAAGCTAGAGTGCTGGGATTGAAGGCATGTGTAACCATTGCCAGGCATTTATTTTTTAAAGATGGTTTTGTGTAGCCCTGGCTGGCCTAAAACTTGGATCTGGCTGCTTCTGCCTTTAAAGTGATGGCAAGGTGCCAACAAGCATGATTGGACTGTAGTATTCAGTCGTAAAAATTAAGTAAATAATCATCCCAGAATTGTATCACCTTTAAAACTTGATGTTTTCATTTATTGGATCTGTTTGGTCTCTGTAGGCGCAAGCCTGTGGAGGAAGGTTATTATACCTCTGGAATCTAGTGGTCACATTAGTTCTTAATCCCTGCTGCAGATTTGGTTTGATTGTAGTTGGAGAATTCTGAGTAATTCTTTTGGCTTATAGGGATAATTCTTTGTTAGCACAGATGCAGTGCTAGGAAGCCAAACCTCAGCTGTTTGTTCGTAGTTTCTTGTTTTGATTACATTTATTTGTGTATGTTCCTGCCTGGTATATGCCATGGCATGCCTGTGGAGGCCAGAGGACGACTGGCAGGAGTCAGTTCTGTCTACCAAGTGAGTCCCAGGAACTAAATGTAGGTAACAGGCGTGGTGACAATTGCTTTTGCCAGCTGAGCCATTTTGCTGTGCTGGTCTTGGTCTTATTTTTTATTTTTTTTATTTTTTTTTATTTTTCGAGACAGGGTTTCTCCGTAGCTTTTTGCTTCCTGTCCTGGAACTAGCTCTTGTAGACCAGGCTGGCCTCGAACTCATAGAGATCCGCCTGATTGTTCTTTGAAGTAGGGTCTTTTTCTGGCCCAGTCTAACCTAGAACTCATTCTGTAGCTCCACAGTCACAGGCTGGTCTCTAACTCACCGGAATCCCCCTGCCTCAGCTTCCTGAGGATTAAAGGATTAAGTAAAGTTTGTTAGATGAATTAAAAGAGAATTGGAATCTTATTTTAAGATGAAAGCCTAAATTAAATGTATTTTTTATGACACTTAAGTTTTATTTTTACTTTTCTTGTTCCTTTTTGGTTTTGAGATATCTTGCTATGTATTTCTGGCTGGCATGGAACGCACTCATTGATCTTGAATCAAAGCAGTATTCCCGCCTTAGACTGTGGGTCACAGGCATGTGCCACTGCCCTGACTTATTTTGTGTCAGTGAGTTTTAAAAACTTTCAGTTGCATATTTTCATTTCTCTGCTGTTGAGTGGGGACTAGAGATTGTACTTTACAGTAAGATCTGTTTCACTAGCTTCAAACTTAGGCTGTTAAACCTCTAGAGTTGCTTATATGCTGTTTAGAAAGAAGACGATGCTGTAGAACTACAGGTGCATAATAGCAGAGAGAAGGAACAGGCCAGGACTAGGGACAGAAAATAAAGAGTGGGAATATTAAATAGCTCACTCAGTAGAAATGAGTATACTAGGGCATAAAAGCTTAAAGAATTTTTCTCCTTCCCGTTTTCTGATTCTGGGCATTCAACAGGGTTGCAGGCGTGCTTGGTAGGCATAAGCTACCCGTGAGTTCCTTCCATCTGTGAAGTGATGTGAAAGATAAGTGTTCTGCTCTTTAATGCTTTTCAGAGAGAAATTAGGCAACAACTAGCAGAAAAAGCTAAAGCTGGGGAGCTTAAAGTCGTGAATGGAGCAGCAGCATCCCAGCCCCCCTCAAAACGAAAACGGCGCTGGGATCAAACCGCTGACCAGACTCCTGGTGCCACTCCCAAAAAGCTGTCAAGTTGGGATCAGGCAGAGGTAACTTTTAATTTTTATTGCTATTTTTATATTTTTCTCTATAGAGTGTGTATTGGGTTTCTGAAACAAGTTACCATTGACTAGGTAGCTCAAGTGCAGTATTTCCTCATTCATGTGGCTCAGAGTCCAGATCTCACCAGCTAGCAGGGGGCTGTCTGGTGAGAGCACTTCTCACTGTTTTCTCATAGCTCTTTTCTTACAGGGTTCTGTTTTCTTATTCCTTTTGACCTCATTTGACCTTGAATACCTGCAGTCTCCAAATGTGACTAGTCACATCAGGGTTAGAGCCTCAATACCTGAATGGGGTGTTGTTCATCCCTATGCTGAGGAGTGGTTTGTTGTTGTTCTTTCAGTGGAATGTCTGTCTGTCTGTCTCTCTCTCTCTCTCCTTCCTTCCTTCCTTCCGTCCTCATTCATTCATTCATTCATTCATTCATTCGAGACAAGGTTTTGCCTTGTAGCCCTGGCCAGTCTGGAACTTGTTATATCGGCCAGGGTAGCATCAGACTCTGAGATTTACCCGCCAAATGCTGGGGTTAAATGTGTGCATCATGCACCACACAGGGATGGAATAATAATTATTTAGCATATTGTATGTTTAATATTGGAGGTTGAGTACAATATTGTAGTCTTCCTTATTTTCTTCTTGGATAGGCCTTTGTCCACAGTTGGTAATTGGGTAACACCATTATTTTCTTGGCTAGCTTATACTCTGTTGACCTCTCTCCCTCCCTCCCTCCCCCGACTGAAGGTTTCTGTCCTGCATGGTCCCGCAGCCATTAAGTCCCAAAGAAACACTCAGAGGTCTACAATAATTATAAACTGTTTGGCCTAGTAGTTCAGGCTTCTTATTAACTCTTACATCCTACATTAACCCATAATTCTTGTCCGTGTTAGCCATGTGGCTTCGTACCCTTTATCAGTGAGGCATTCTCATCTTACTTCCTCTGTGTCTGGCTTCCTCTTTGACAACTGCCAACTGAGTCTTTACTCTTCCCAGAATTCTCCTGTTCTGGTTGTTCCACCTATACTTCCTGCCTGGCTACTAGCCAGTCAGTATTATTACTAAAACAATACAACTGACAAATCATTACAAAGTACAAGACCGTTGTCCCCTCAGCGCTCCCCCCCTTTTTTCTTTCAAAACAAGAACTCTGAATAATCTTCTTTGTTTAGCTTTCTTCCTGACCATTAGCCATAACAACTTGTAACCAACACTAAACAAAGAAACATCTATAATCCATTTTTGGGGGAATGCAGGTGTAGTTTTCCAGGCTATTTCCTGCTGATTGGGGGGTGCTGATAATCTTATGGGGATCTAAAGAAAATTTATAATTATCAAGTCATGACTGGAATATTGTGTGAGGCTTGATGATCTCAGGCAGCAGTCTTGAGGCTGTTCTGGATGTAGAACTCAGACATCTGGGCCATCCACTTCCACTGGAGATTTCTCAGGGGGGTCTTCCTTGATCAAACCTGATTTTTCTTAACCCAGAATAAATCCACAGCCTCCCATTTCCTCTGGAAACAAAAGCAAAACCTCTTCTCCAAAGTAACATATCTTTTTTTTTTTAATTTATTTATTTATTAAAGATTTCTGTCTCTTCCCCGCCACCGCCTCCCATTTCCCTCCCCCTCCCCAGTAACATATTTTTTGACGTAAATTTTGAAGTCAAGGTATTTTCAAAATACATATGTTGGATTAATCCAGCAGCACTTATAATCAAATGTCTTTTAGCAGCTGTTGCTCCTTCCTCAGCAGTCAAACAATTCAAAGACAGCACAATAATATACAGTATCCAGATTATCTGTGTATTTTCCATCTTTACATGACTTTATTTTAAACTCTTATTTATTTTTATTTTGAAATTTTGTTTTTTTGAGACAAGGTTTCTCTATGTATCTCTGGCTGTCCTGGAACTCTTTCTGTAGACCAGGCTGGCCTTGAATTCACAAGAGATCTGCCTGCCTTTTTTATTTTTTTCGAGACAGGGTTTCTCTCTGCCTCTGTCTTTTGAGTGTTGGGGTTAAGGGCATGTGTCAACACTGCAGGGCTTGAACATATTTGCAAAAATGTGTGTAACAGAATTGACCGTTTTAACCATTTTAAAAGCTTATATTCCGTGGATTAAGTTTTGTTGTGCTGTCAGTTACCAGACAGAAACCTGATCCTTTCAGTGTTGCATCTCTGTCCTTTTCCCACAGAAGATTCTCCGTCTGTTTCCTTCATGTTACCAGTCATTGTCCTAAAAATAAACTTGTAGAGAAACCGTTCATTGACCTTCAGATACCATTACTTTGTCTTCACTCTGAGTGCTTTCAGTGAATTGTCTGTCCTTGTGGTCCCCTCCTATTTAGTAGTCTCCTGACCATACATGTTTGTCTGAATATCTGGGTGTAGTAGCCTGACCTCATTGTTACTGTCTTAATTGATCACATTAGTTAACTAGCTTATTAGTAGGCTCAAGCCTCTTCTCTTAGATTCTGAACTTGAGTGTCTTTTCGGTCTCTGCTCACTGGTTGCTGTTTCTTGTTCGTGTTTGCCCGATCCTCGTTACCAGAACATTGGCTGCATTAATGATCAGTCTCTGTAGTGCTTCTGCTTAGGCTCTCTTCCTAGTGCTCCACTGCTGCTGCTTCTACAGGGTGGGTGTTGGATCCTCTGCAGCTCTGGGCACTGAACTTGGATCACCTCTTAAAGACAAGGTTTCACTGTGTATCCCTTTCTAGCCTTGAGCTAGCTGTTTAGACCAAGTTGGCGTCAGACTCAGATTCTTCTCTTGCTTCCTGAGTGCTGAGATTAATGTCTTGTGCCATCATGCACACCCAGAGCTAAGTTTTTTTTTTTTAAACTTTTTATTTATTTATTATGTATACAATGTTATGTCTGTGTGTATGTCTGCAGGCCAGAAGAGGGCACCAGACCTCATTACAGATGGTTGTGAGCCACCATGTGGTTGCTGGGAATTGAACTCAGGACCTTTGGAAGAGCAGGCAATGCTCTTAACCTCTGAGCCATCTCTCCAGCCCCCAGCGCTAACTTTTAAAAGCCAAGATAAACTTGTTTTACTTAGCACAGCTCAGCTGTGTGCTTATAATTGGATAGAAGAGTAAATTTTTAAAAAGCTTCATTTACTTTAGTGGCATACATGTCTGTGAGTGCACACCACACGTGTGCAAGTTCTGTGAGACCTCCTAGGAGCAGCTGTCGGATCCATTGGGATTGGAGTGAGGTTATGAGCCCCTGTGAACATGCTCAGGTTCTCTGTGAAAGCAGCTAAACACGCTTTGTTTTGCCTCTTTTGCTTTTTTTTTAATTTACAAGTTTTTTAAATAATAAAAATAGTTTTTTAATAATGAAAATAATTTTTTGAAAGAAAAGTAAAAGAACAATGGCAAATAAATAGGTAGAGCATATAAATGAAACTTCATTGACTCAGGGTTTACAATATCCAGAAGAGATAGCTGGAGTAGTCTGAATAAGAGAACAAAAAGGTAACATCATCGATCAAGAGCACACCAACATCCAGCAGATACCAACTGGGGAAAGTGAGGCATTTAGCTCAGTTCCTGGGGTAGCTTTTTTCTCCATGGATGCCTTTTCTTCCCCGCTGTTGTGCGGGCATGTTTATCATGTGTAAACCCCAGGTGTCATCTGCTAGACACAGTTCACCTCTCAGCTGTTCTCAGGAACAGCTTTTGCTCTTGGACTCTTTTGCTCTTCTTCCTTTTTCCGATTGTAAGCGGGAGTCGGCTCCACCCAGGAAGTGTGTCTTAGAAACAGTTTGACAAGCATGCTTGGGCCTGAATGAGATTTAACAAACTTAGACAGCACTTGGCAAATCACCTGTACAATATCTGTCACAAAAGTTGACAATCCTGAATATTTGCTTTTCCTAATGATTGATTGATTTATTTTTATGAGTGTTGGTGCTTTGTCTGCTTGTATGTCTGTGTGAGGGTGTTTGTTAAATCCCCTGGAACTGGAGTTAAAGACATTAGCTGTGAGCTGCCATGTGCACTGGGAATTGAAACCTGTGTTCTTTGGGAGAGCAGTCAGCGCTGAGCCATCTTGCAGTTCTGTGTTTTATGGCTTAATCTCAGGCTTTTCATCATCCCGAATGAAAGCTGTACATTGGTTTTGAGCATAAGCATTTGTAAGACAGTAAGCAGAATGATAGTCTAATTTTTAACAGAGTATAGGAAACAAATAAAAGATGCGTTTATTTGGTTGGGTTTTGTTAGAAAAATTTTTTAGTTATTTTTTTTAAGGTATAGAGGTATGTGAAATAAGATTTTTTTGCTTTGTTTTTTTTTTTTTTTTTTACTTCAGTAGTATTTTATTTTTTTTTATAAGACATGTTTATTCTTTTTTTTTTTTTTAAATTTATTTATTTATTAAGGATTTCTGCCTCGTCCCCACAACCGCTTCCCATTTCCCTCCCCCTCCCCCGATCAATTCCCCCTCCCTCATCTGCTCGAAGAGCAATCAGGGTTCCCTGACCTGTGGGAAGCCCAAGGACTGCCCACCTCTATCCAGGTCTCGTAAGGTGAGCATCCAAACTGCCTAGGCTCCCACAAAGCCAGTACGTGCAGTAGGATCAAAAACCCACTGCAATTGTTCTTGAATTCTCAGTATTCCTCATTGTCCGCTATGTTCAGCTAGTCCGGATTTATCCCATGTTTTTTCAGACCTAGGCCAGCTGGCCTTGGTGAGATCCCAATAGAACATCCCCATTGTCTTAGTGTGTGGGTGCACCCCTCGTGGTCCTGAGTTCCTTGCTCGTGCTCCGTCTCCTTTTGCTCCTGATTTGGACCTTGAGATTTCTGTCTGGTGCTCCCGTGTGGGTCTCTGTCTCTGTCTCCTTTCATCGCCTGATGAAGGTTAATATTCCTGAGGATGCCTATGTGTTTGTCTTTGGATTCACCTTCTTATTTAGCTTCTCTAGGAACATGAATTATAAGCTCAATGTCCTTTATTTATGGCTAGAAACCAAATATGAGTGAGTACATCCCATGTTCCTCTTTTTGGGTCTGGCTTACCTCACTCAGGATAGTGTTTTCTATTTCCATCCATTTGTATGCAAAATTCAAGAAGTCCTTGTTTTTTACTGCTGAGTAATACTCTAATATGTATATATTCCATACTTTCTTCATCCATTCTTCCGTTGAAGGGCATCTAGGTTGTTTCCAGGTTCTGGCTATTACAAACAATGCTGCCATGAACATAGTTGAGCATATACTTTTGTTGTATGATAGGGCCTCTCTTGGGTATATTCCCAAGAGTGGTATTGCTGGATCCAGGGGTAGGTTGATCCCGAATTTCCTGAGAAACCGAAACACTGCTTTCCAGAGTGGTTGCACAAGTTTGCATTCCCACCAGCAATGTTTTTTTGCTTTGTTAAGACCCCTGGACATACCCCTTCTTTAAGATGGGATGAGACACCAGGTCGTGCAAAAGGAAGTGAAACTCCTGGAGCAACCCCAGGTTCAAAAATATGGGACCCTACACCTAGTCACACACCTGCGGGAGCTGCTACTCCTGGACGAGGCGATACCCCAGGCCATGCAACCCCAGGCCACGGTGGTGCAACTTCCAGTGCTCGTAAGAACAGATGGGATGAGACCCCCAAAACAGAAAGAGGTGGGTACCTTTAATGGCGTGTAGACAAGTCTTTGGATGAAGTGTTGACTTGAGTGTTGTGTTTCAGGCTGAGGTTTGTACTTTCTAGTATAAATATAAATACAGTATAAACTTCTATGTAACTAACCAGCTCCTGCAGAGGTGGAGCAGACTGACTCTTGAGATGTCGGAACCCACTGAGGCTGTGTGTCTTTTCTATTACTGTTTGTCTCAGTACTCAAGCATAAACACATACAGTAGGTAAATTTTTTCTTACTTAATAAGCTTCCAGCTTTGGGCTGGTGACATTGCTCAGTGGGAGAGGAGCTTACACTAACCAAGCCTGAGGACAGCGATTTGCTCCCTGGGGCCCACGTGCTAGAAGGAGAGCCCCAGCTCCACAGTAACCTGGGACCTCCGTATGTGCATCATGGTCTGTGCTCCTCAGCATACACAGTAAATAAGAACTCAGCAAATGGAGAGTCCAGTTCTTTCCCCCTTATGAAGAGGCTGGGGATTTTAGGAAGAATCATAGAAGATAAATTTTATATTTAAAAAAAATGGAAGATAATTTTGTGCTTTGTTTTTTTAGCTTTAAAAAATGTTTTGGAAACCATATCACTAGGCTTCAACTGCTGAGTCTCTTGCCTCAGCCTCTTCTATGTGCGTTTAAATACACCAGCTTTAATTTTTTTTAAGATTTATTTTTTATGTATACAGTATTTTGCCTACATATATCCTATAGGCCAGTAGGGGGCATCAGATCTCATTATAAATGGTTGTGAGCCATCAATCAATGTGGTTGCTGGGAATTGAACTCAGGACCTCTGGAAGAGCAGTCAGTGCTCTTAACCTCTGAGCCACCTCTCCAGCCCTTAACTTTTTTTTTAAGTACACAATTTAGTGACTTTAAACATATTCATAGTATTGCACAATTATGATTATAACACATTTCTGAATCTTTTTTCAGTGACCCAAACAGAAACCGCATCCTTTAAACACGTCTCTTTCTCTACCACCGTCTGATTCCTGCTAGCCTCTGTTTTATGTGCTGTCTCAGAAATTTGCCTCAATTGAGTATTGGCTGTAAAGCAAGAATAACCTGACTCAAGATAAACAGTGGATGGCTCTACATAGTGATTGTGTGGATGAAAAAATTTGCTCTTTGTTTCTTACTAGTTGCTGTGTGTGCCTTTGTAGTCAGTGGAAAGTTTCAGAAACCTAAAAATACTGAACAAAACTTTTAGGTATATCTTGTTTTTGGATTACGTTCCTTTTGAATGTAATCCTACTGAATGTGGGGGAAACGGTATTTCGGTGGTTAGTAGTGTGATCTTACTGGCCTCTGTTTTTGCAGATACTCCTGGGCATGGAAGTGGATGGGCTGAGACGCCTCGAACAGACCGAGGTGGAGACTCCATCGGTGAGACACCCACTCCTGGAGCAAGCAAAAGAAAGTCTCGTTGGGATGAAACGCCAGCTAGTCAGATGGGTGGAAGCACTCCTGTTCTGACTCCAGGAAAGACACCAATTGGCACGCCAGCCATGAACATGGCTACCCCCACGCCAGGTAAAACTCTTACTGGAAATAAGATCTTTCTTTTGTAACTTTTTTTTTTTTTTTTTGCTGGTTTTTCTGGATTGCCTTTAATGCTAGCTTTCCTATTAAGAATCAGAATATAAAAATGGCCAGGCTGTGGTGGAGCACGCCCTTAACCTCAGCACTTAGAAGGTGGAGGCAGGTGGGTCTCTGTGAGTTGGAGGCCAGCCTGGTCTACAGAGCGAGTTCCAGGACAGGCTCCAAAGCTACACAGAGAACCCTGTCTCAAAACCAAAAAGAAAAACAAATAATTAAAAATGATCAAGTCTGGCACTGTGGCTCACTAAGAATTTTGCTGTTTTGATAGGTCACATAATGAGCATGACTCCTGAGCAGCTTCAGGCATGGCGGTGGGAGAGAGAAATTGATGAGCGGAACCGCCCACTTTCTGATGAAGAATTAGATGCTATGTTTCCAGAAGGATACAAGGTACTAGCAACAAGTATACGATAAATGTGTTTGTTATTTAGGATATGAGTTTTAAGCATTTGGTTAAAAAAATTGCCTAGCAAATTGCCCAAATTTACTACTAGTCAATCCCTCCCTCCCTCCCTCCCTCCCTCCCTCCCTCCTCCCTCCTCCCTCCCTCTCTCCCTTCCTTTCTTCTGGTACTACTAAGTATATTTCAGTTGAAAAAGTAATGGAAAGGGGGCTGGAGAGATGGCTCAGAGGTTAAGAGCATTGCCTGCTCTTCCAAAGGTCCTGAGTTCAATTCCCAGCAACCACATGGTGGCTCACAACCATCTGTAATGAGGTCTAGTGTCCTCTTCTGGCCTGCAGACATACACACAGACAGGATATTGTATACATAAAAAAAAGTAACGGAAAACGAGTAGCATGGAGCTTTTATTATTTCGCCACCTGTGGAGGTGCCTACCTTTAATTCTAGTGATTGATGGGAGTTAGAGGTAGGTGGATCTCTTGACTTTGAAGCCAGTCTTGTTTATATAACAAGTTGCAAGGTTAAGACCCTGTCTTAACTCCCGTCCCCTCAAAAAACAAAAAAACCAAACACCCTTTTATTTTGTGGGCTGGAGAAGTGGCTCAGTGGTTAAGAGCATATACTGCTCTTTTGAGGGACTAGAGTTCATTTCCCAGCACCCACCTGTGAATCTGTGAGAACCCAGTGCTTTCTGTTAGCCTTCTCGGGCACTGTACTCAAGTGGACAATCTTAAATCCAGGCACACGGTTATATACAATTCTTAAAAATCTTTAAAAGATATTATTTCATTTTTAATTATTTGTGTTATCATTTGGATGTAAATTCAGGTGTCTGCAGAAGCCATTGCAATTCCTCCACTGGAATTACAGGCGGTTGTGAGTTTCCCAACATGGCTTCTGGGTTCTGAACTTTAGTCTCACAACTTGAGATGCACGTGTTGTAGATGACCGAGACCTTTCTCTAGTATCTGCTTTAAAACCACTGTTAGATTTGGAGACTGTCTCTCTATGTAACTATGAGATATACTGGGCTGACCTTAAACTCAGAGATCTGTCTAAACGGTATCCCACCACACCTGGCTTTTATTACTTTTCAGTAAGGGATCGCAAGACTTACTGTCTTACCCAGCAAATCGTAATTCACTACAAAAAAAAGAGTCTCATTGCTTTAAAAACCAAATCTTGCTGTTTTTAACTCATATTTTTAGACATTGTATGGGTTTTGCAGGGGGTTTAGTTGGTTATTTCTTTCAGAGGGTCTTGGCAATTTCTTTAGTTTTACTTTTCTGTATTTAAGTCAGTTTTGTAGAGTTGGTTCATTCATTCATTCATTCATTCATTCATTTATTCATTCATGCAGTGTTTTACTTGCATGTGTTCCTGTGGGCCAGAAGGCACCAGATCTCATTACAGATGGCTGTGAGCCACCATGCGATTGATGAGACTTGAACTCAGGACCTATGGAAGAGCAGTCAGTGTTCTTAACCAATGAGCCATCTCTCTAGCCCCTAGAGTTGGTTCATAAAATAACATTTTTATAGCATTGGGTTATGTGGATGCTCACTTACTGTATTTCTAAAATAAACGAATGCGTGACTTTTCATTTCTTAAACAAAGCCGCATAAGTTTATTCCTGTTTGAATGAGTGGTTATGGATGTTTGCTCTAAGAGCACCTTCTCTGAAACCACTGACTTGCAGGGTTGAGAGATTTCAAGTTTTTCAGTTTCACGTCTTGGCTTGACATGTTGATATTTCAAGCATGTTAATGTTTGAAGGTGACTAGAATTTATAGAATGTTTCATGTATTCCTTTCTCACTTAAATTTTATTTAACAAATTAAAAATGAAGTATTTTTCATAAACATCTTCTTAACTGTTAATTAACATTGAACAGTGGGATATGTTTTCTTCAGGTAAATAAACCTGCTAGCTAGCTAGTAAGTTGTAACATCTCTGTAAGTGTAAATGTTCCTGTGCTGTTTCTGGGTGTGGACAGCCAAGGCAGCCCTGCTAAGTGTGTTGTCCTCTCTTAGGTCCTTCCCCCTCCAGCCGGTTATGTCCCTATCCGGACCCCAGCTCGTAAACTGACCGCAACCCCCACGCCTTTGGGCGGCATGACTGGGTTCCACATGCAGACGGAAGATAGGACTATGAAGAGTGTGAGCGACCAGCCGTCCGGGAACCTTCCGTTTCTGAAACCCGACGACATCCAGTACTTTGATAAGCTGTTGGTAAGTGACGCTCCAGCAGCAGTGTTGCTCTTGGTGGGGATACAGCCCTCTGACCTCACCTCTGGCCTCACCTCTGGCCTCACCTCTGACCTCACCTCTGACCTCACCTCTCAATCACCGCAGGTCGATGTGGACGAATCCACACTTAGTCCAGAGGAGCAGAAGGAGAGGAAAATAATGAAGTTGCTTTTGAAAATTAAGAATGGTACACCTCCAATGAGAAAGGTAACTTCTATTTTTTATTTCTTTGGCTTTTTGAGACAAGGTCTTTGCACAGTCATGATTGCCTTGGAATTCACTATGTAGACCAGGCTGGCCTGGAACCTTCAGAAATCCAGCTGCCTCTGGCTCTCAAGTGAGGCAGTTAAAAGTATATACCACCCATAATAGAGAATAAAGGTGTGTATCAATCTGACTCCTAGTTCTAGTTTATTAAATTATTTATTTTTGTTTGTTTTGAGATAGGTTCTCAAACTGTATCGCAAGCTGGCCTGAAACTCATAGCCCAGTTTGAATTTAGTCTGATAGCAATCCTTTTTGTTCAGACACCTGAGTGATGGAATTAACAGAATAAGACGTGGCGCTCTGTTCTGGTTCCTTATTTGGCGTTTTATATGGTTTCTGATAAATTGCTTAGCTTGGCCTTAAGCTTCTTCAGGGAGGCCTTGAGCTTTGGATCCTCTTCTTCTAGAGTGGCTGCTTGGGGTTACAGTCCTCGCTCCAGGCTCAGTGGGTTTAATTCTTCTCCTCATCAGGATATGAGAGAGCTAAATTCTTTCTGTGTTTGACAGCTTTAAAGTGTTCAGAACTAGGGTGATGAGTGGAAATTATGTGAGCTGTTTATTAACACCCAGCGTGACTGAAGTAGAAGGCTCAGCTAAGGCATATGGTGTATGCTTACCTTTTTTTATATAACATTTATAGGTGTGCACACATGGCGATAACTTGTAGGAATCAGTTCTTTCCTTCTGTTCTGTAGGTTCTGAGGATTGAGCTCAGATAATCGTCAGGCTTGGTGTCCAGCCAGTACCTTTTACCTTCTGAGGAATGTTCTTAGCCCTAAATTACCCCTAATTCTTTTCTGCCCATTTATTCATTTATTTAGTGCACACATACATGCGTGTTTTTGTACATTGGGTGTGGGTATGTGTGCAGGCAGGCAGGTAGGTGATACTCCAGGTATCACCTGTAGAGAGCTCAAGAGGACAGCTTTTGGAAGTTTGTCCTTCTGTTTTTTAGCTCCGAGGGGTTGAAGGGTGGGGTCATTGGGCATAAGCTCCTTTGCCTTCTTCCCTTCTCACCAGCCACTAAGTTAATCACCCTTTTTAGATGAGTTGATAACATTGAACTTGGGTTATGTGAAATTAAACATTAAAACAATTTATGACAAAATTCTTATTACTATATGTGGATTGTCTGTCAAAATATTATTCCTGGTAAAATTCACTTCTTCTGAATGTTTGCTCATAAACAAAAGTAAATATTTTCATTTCTTTCTGCTTTTCCCTAGGCTGCCTTACGTCAGATTACTGATAAAGCTCGAGAATTTGGGGCTGGACCTTTGTTTAACCAGATTCTTCCTTTGTTGATGTCTCCTACACTTGAGGATCAAGAGCGTCATTTACTTGTGAAAGTTATTGATAGAATATTGTATAAACTTGATGACTTAGTGCGGCCGTATGTGCACAAGGTTGGTTCTCTAAGTAGTGTTTAATGGTTTTAATTTTTAGTTTTTGGGTTGAATTCTATTTTCCACTATGTGGAATCCGGATTATTTTTTTTTTTTTTTGGTCAGGGGAGGGGTTGTGGCGGGGCACATGTTGCTTGAGACAGGGTCTTTCTGTGTAGCCTTGTAGACCAGGCTGACCTCAGATCACCTGCCTTTGCCTCCTGAATTCTGGGCTTAAAGGTGTTTGCCACCACTGCCCAGCCATTTAATATTTTTATAAATTTCAATATAAAGAGTCGGGTTTATTTTATCGTTTGTCCTCATGTTTATAAAGACTTACTTCATGGGTACGGCTGTTCGCCTGCCTGCATCACTTACATGTTTGCTGCCCTTAGAAGCCAAAAGAGGGCATTGGATCCCCTGAACTGAGTTACACATGTTCTGAGTTGCCATGTGGGTGCTGGGTATTGAACCTGGGTCCTCAAGAAGAGCAGCTGGTGCCATTTAACTACCGAGCCAGTCCAGTTCCTTTCCTTGTATTCTTAAAATTTTAAAGTTCAAAACTTTAGTTGATTGTATACAATCATAGACTAGAAAAGTTTACTATTTTATAGCCTCTTCAGAGATATGAGTGTTGAATTAGTCTGTCCTGATCTTTGGGAGTTTATTTTTAAAAGATTTATTTATTTATTATGTATACAATGTTCTGCCTGCATGTGTCCCTGCAGTCTAAATTGGCACCAGATCTTTTACAGGTAATTGTGAGCCACCATGTGGTTGCTGGGAATTGAACTCAGAACCTCTGGAAGAGCAGCCAGTGCTCTTATCCACTGAGCCATCTCTCCAGCCCCTCTTTTAGGGGTTTTGAAAAGGTGTCTCACCATGTTATTGAGGCTGGCCTTGTCTATGGTGCAGGTGTGCTAACTCTAGTCCAGGATCTCCTGTCCAGGCAATGGGACTTTGCGAGACAGTCGCCTATGGGCGTTCCCAGAGTCTCATTTCCTGCCAGAATGACAGCATTGTTTTCCTCCCAGAAGCAAGTATCAATATATAAGAGTTTTTATGCCATCTTTACTCTTGGGAGTTACTACTCTTTTTTTTTTTCCATTTTTTTTATTGACAGATTAGAATGAGAATGCGTATTTTATTTTGTATTAGAATAAAGAATCATCTTTATTAAGACAATTCTTATATATTTTTAAATATAAAATGTTATCTTACCTTTTGCTTTCACCTATATCTAGGACTTGACAAATTACCCCTCGATTAGCAAAGTTCTTTGATAACTGTAAATTGATGTGGAAATGTAATTTCTTTTTTTTTTCTGTTTCAGATTCTCGTGGTTATTGAACCACTGCTGATTGATGAAGATTACTATGCTAGAGTGGAAGGCAGAGAAATTATTTCTAATTTGGCAAAGGTATTCACACTAAATTCCTAGAAAGGAAGTTTGTCTTGCTGGGCTGGGATGGATGGTAACTAAAGCTGCTCTTGGTCTTTCCTCTGTAGGCCGCTGGTCTGGCTACTATGATTTCCACCATGAGACCTGACATAGATAACATGGATGAGTATGTCCGAAACACAACGGCTAGAGCTTTTGCTGTTGTAGCCTCTGCCCTGGGCATTCCTTCTCTATTGCCCTTCTTAAAAGCTGTGTGCAAAAGCAAGAAGTCTTGGCAAGCGAGGCACACTGGCATTAAGATTGTACAGCAGATAGCTATTCTTATGGGCTGCGCTATCTTGCCACATCTCAGAAGCTTAGTTGAAATCATCGAACATGGTGAGTGGTGATAGAACTTTCACCTGTGAAAGATCAGCTGTCCTGAATGTTTGGTTACTGATGGGGGCTGGGGAATAACTGAAGGGCTTCCCCATATAAATGCGTCATACTTTGAAAAAGGGTTTGCTGTATTTTCTGTTAAGACACTGCGCTTGCCAGAATTCTGTCTACTGCAGAATGTCTTGCAGTTGGGATGGTTAGATACATTGCTGAAGTTTGGATTGCACTGTGAAAATGGGCGGTGGGTGCCATGCCTGCTTACGCCTGTGTTTGATTGTGTAGGGCTTGTGGATGAGCAGCAGAAAGTCCGGACCATCAGTGCTTTGGCCATTGCTGCTTTGGCTGAAGCAGCAACTCCTTACGGTATCGAATCTTTTGATTCTGTACTCAAACCTCTATGGAAGGGTATCCGTCAACACAGAGGAAAGGTAAATCCACTCTTGAGATTCTGGTTTGTTGCTGTCCATTAAGGCCATCTAAAGTTAATTTACTGATTTGTGTGTCTATTTACATATTTTATTTTTAAATAGGGTTTGGCCGCTTTCTTAAAGGCTATTGGGTATCTTATTCCTCTTATGGATGCAGAATATGCCAACTACTATACTAGAGAAGTGATGTTGATCCTTATTCGAGAGTTCCAGTCTCCAGATGAAGAGATGAAGAAAATTGTATTGAAGGTAATTAGTTGTTTCAGGTTGTAGGTGCGCATCTGAAGGTTGAAGGAGGCCTTGAGAGCGCAGGGATAGACGTGCTGTGTTGTCCCGGCAGGTGGTGAAGCAGTGCTGCGGGACGGACGGGGTGGAAGCCAACTACATTAAGACAGAGATCCTCCCTCCTTTCTTCAAACACTTCTGGCAGCACAGAATGGCTCTGGATAGAAGAAATTACCGACAGGTAACCTTTCATTTTTAAAATTTGAGTCGCAAAAGTCTTTCTGACTCTTTCTCTACTTAGAATGCATATTACATACTATAATTTGCTTTGGCTGTCTTAAAATTTATATGTTCTTGACTGTGACAGGAGATGGACTTTTAAAGCCCTTTTATTTATTTATTTATTTTCTTTTTTTTGTGATAGGGTTTTACTGTGTAGCCTGGAAATTGCTATGTAGACCTTACTTAAATTCATGGATCCCCTGCCTCTACCTTCCTTTTTTTTTTTTTTTTTTAAATATTCTGTCTCTGTGTATGCCTGAAGGCCAGAAGAGGGCACCAGACCTCATTACAGATGGTTGTGAGCCACCATGTGGTTGCCGGGAATTGAACTCAGGACCTTTGGAAGAGCAGTCAGTGCTCTTAACCACTGAGCCATCTCTCCAGCCCCTCTGCCTCTACCTTCTAAGTGCTGGTATTAAAGGCCTGCTCCACCATACCTGGCCTCTTTTGTGTCTATGTGTGTGTGTTTTTAAATGCATTTAATGTAAAATTTCCATGAAACTGGTGCATTTAAAATTTAAAAATGTTTATTTTTTCATATGTATGTTTGGGTGTTTTGCCTGTGTGCATTGTCTCTGCACCATTTGGTGTGTCTCGTGTCTACAGAGGCCAGGTCATTGGATCTCCTGGTAGTGAAGTTACAGACATTTGTGAACCACCTTATGGGTGTTGGGAATTGAACTTGGGTCCTCTGGAAGAAAAACCAATACTCCTAACTGCTGAAGTCTTCAGTTCAGTCCCCAGCCTAGTAACAAAAGGCATGCGCGCGCGCGCACACACACACACACACACACATCCCGTTTGTGCACATGGCGTGCGTGTGTGGTTGTGTTTAAATTACATTTATCTGTGTGTGCGCGCGCTCCCAGCACATGCGTGTTGGGGAGGTGGGAGAGCAGCTGGTGGTCCCCTTTTGAGCTTGGGGATCAGACTCAGATTGTCCACTGTGTCCGCTGTGGCTGTGACCTGTTGAACCCTCTCTGTGCGCCCCTCTTTTTCTCTTTTCTTTTTGATACGAAAATCTCACTTAGTAGCCCAGGCTGGTCTCAAAATTTTGGTCCTTCTGCCTCAGCCTCCCAGCTCACCAGTACTAAATTATGAGTCGACGTTTTTGTCTGGTAAATTGAGGCTTTTTCTATCTTGCTGAAACATAGGTATAATTTTACTTAGAATGCTTTTTGGTTTGGAGATAAGATCTCATGTTTCTTGGGCTTGCCTGGACTTGCTGTATAGCTAGATTAGAATCAGTTTTGGAAGATGTGCCTCACTGTTTGAGTGCTAGGTTTATGGCAGGAGCACTGTGCTGTGCTGCTCTAACTTGGAATGTTTAGTTGTAAGCTTTATTTCCTTGGAAAAGTAATAGCTTTAAAACGGTTTTGTTTTTGTTTTGTCTTTTTAGTTAGTTGATACGACTGTGGAGTTGGCAAACAAAGTGGGAGCCGCAGAGATCATATCTAGGATTGTGGATGATCTGAAAGATGAAGCTGAGCAGTACAGGAAGATGGTGATGGAGACAATTGAGAAAATTATGGGCAACCTGGGTGCAGCAGATATTGATCACAAACTCGAAGAGCAGCTGATTGATGGCATTCTCTATGCGTTCCAGGAACAGACCACAGAGGTAATGGCAGCTGATCATTTACTTGTGGTTTAAATTTAGTTTGTGTGCATGTGTGTGGGTGGAGATTAGAGGCGGCTTCAGGGGTCAGGTCTGTTTTCCACCTTGTGTTTCCTGGGCCCCCGCCAATCACCACGAACTGTTGTGGCAGCTGCTGTTGGCTTTCGCATGCGTAGAAAACCATTGTTTAAAGCAGATGCCCCTTAAAAGTGATTCAGGTTTGACGTTTCAAGTACTAGTTTTCCTCAGCTATAACAGATGTTCTTTTACCTCAGATTTTTGGATTTGATTTAAGAACAAACAGTATGTTTGGGTGTTAGGAAAAGATTGAATGTTATTCAACAATCAACTTTCAGTTAAAACTCAATTCTGTATTTTTAGTGATTTTGTTTGTTTTTTAAAAAATGTAACTTAGCTCTTCTCTTTTAGGATTCGGTAATGTTGAACGGCTTTGGCACAGTAGTTAATGCTCTTGGCAAACGAGTCAAACCGTACTTGCCTCAGATCTGTGGTACTGTTTTGTGGCGTTTAAATAACAAATCAGCAAAGGTTCGGCAACAGGCAGCTGACTTGATTTCCCGCACTGCTGTTGTAATGAAGACTTGTCAAGAGGTAATCTGTCTGTTCTACCAGCTTTATATTGTTGTTAGCAGGTAGTTTAATGGAGAAAGTAATGTTTAAACATTTTTTGTATTACAGGAAAAACTGATGGGGCACTTGGGTGTGGTGCTGTATGAATACTTGGGTGAAGAATACCCTGAAGTATTGGGGAGCATTCTCGGAGCGCTGAAGGCTATTGTTAACGTTATAGGTACGTCATTGCCTGCTTATGTGAGAGTTGGCCTTGTCATTTTCTTTGTATTTGGAAAGCAGAGTATAAAGTCCTAGTTGGGAGTTTGTTGGGTTTTCTTTTCTTACTTTGAGCACTTCAGGGTTGTCAGAGTGTCCCAAAGTCTTCTTTTCCTGTTGTCCGTGTACATTTTACTTAAGTATGTTAAAGGGAAATTAGGACATTGGAGGCATTGTAACAGTTACAGCTCGAGATGTTGTGAGTTACTGGGAGAGAGGACCCTGGCAGAACTTATGGAGAGAGAACTTTTCTGTTTTAAGTAATGATAAAGCAAACAAAGGCATATCTGTGTTTAAGATCTCATTGTAGTTGGGCAGTGCTGGCATAACTTTAATCCTAGCACTTGGTGGGCAGGTTGATCTCTGCAGTTTGAGGCCTTCCTGGTCTACAACACTGGAACAGCCAGGGATACACAGAGAAACCCTGTCCTGGAAAGCCCCCAAAAATGTCTTATTTAAACATAGTGTTGAAAGTAACTCCTCTAAGGCTGAAAGGGTTGGAAAAAAGGCCAAGAGTTCATAATTCCCGGCCAGTGATAACACTGTTTTCCCTGCTCAGTGAGGATCTGTGAAAGGTCAGCCCAGCCTGGGTGTGCTGTAAAGAGACAGACTCGCCAAGGTCTATTGGCTGTGACCCCCAGGTCAGCCCAGCCTGGGTGTACTGTAGAGACTGACTCGCCAGCAGTCATTTAGCTTCTTGTCTCGTGGGTTTCTGGTTTGTCAGAGTTGTAAACCTGTGAAACATGAGAAAAATGACAGAAAATCAGAGCCAGCAGTTCTAGTTAGAACAAGAGCCCCTGCTAGCTGCCTCTTTTTTTAAACCCCCGTTTCTTCCTTCCTAGGTTTAAATACTATCCAGACATGCTCCGAATTTCAGGGAGACTGGAGATCTGTTTTGTTTTGCAGTTAAAGGATGTGGGGCCTTTTCTGATTTGGTTATGAATCTACTTTTGCTTATATTGTTGTATTTGGCCAGAATGTAGCATGTCCCCATATTTAAATACATATAGCATTTCAAAACCAAATAAATCTTTTTGTTATTAAGTAATTCATGTTGTTTTTTAAATCACTAATTTCTTTCACTTTTACATGTAATTAGAAGCTATTAATAATTTTTAAAAAAATGAGAGTCTACTTAGAATCTAGGGATTTTATCCATAGGTGGCTTGTTTATATTTTGAATTGCACAGTAGATGGAAAAATGAGCAGAGGTTGCAGTTCAGGGTTTAACGGTTCCTTGATTTCTGTCGACTAGGTATGCACAAGATGACACCACCAATTAAAGATCTGCTGCCTAGACTCACCCCCATCTTAAAGAACAGGCATGAAAAAGTACAGGAGAATTGTATCGATCTCGTTGGACGCATTGCTGACAGGTGAGCAGATTACTCTGCCATTTTTGTAGGTAGTGACATCCTCTTACTTAGTTTAAGTAGATTCTTTTAGGCAATATTTCTTCTCAGATTTAGCGTATTTGTATCCAGCAAGCAAGTTTTCCTTGAAGCTGCTTACCTAAGTATATATGGTCAGCTTATCCAAGATTAGTATTTTCAGGCAAATTTCACTTTGGCTGGTAATAAGCAGTAGTGATGTTTGAGACAGGGTTTCCCTGTGTAGCCCTGGCTGTTCTGGAACTTGTTCTGTAGACTAGGCTGGCCTTGAACTCAGATCCACTTGCCTCTGCTGGGATTAAAGGTGTACGCCACCCCGTAGTTTTAAAACTGAGCCAAACTTTCTGTTTTATTTTGTTTTGAGGCAAGATCTGACTATATCCCCGACTGACCTGGAACTCCATAGATCAGGTACACCACCACTTAACAAGCCAGGTTAGTCTTCATTTAGTGTTAAGATGAGTTAGTGGTGGTTTCAGAACTGAATATGCACATTTACTTTGTAACCTTCGAGTAAGGGGTGCAGATCAGCAACCTTATTTGGCATGACGGAGGCTCTGGACTTCATCCCCAGCACCGCAAAAACAAAAAATCAAAGCACCTTGATAGCAAAGCAGTAATAACCATTTAGTTAATATTTTAATTTTTTTTGTTTAATTAGGGGAGCAGAATATGTATCTGCAAGAGAGTGGATGAGGATTTGCTTTGAACTTTTAGAGCTCCTAAAAGCACACAAAAAGGCCATTCGAAGAGCTACTGTCAACACTTTCGGGTACATTGCGAAGGCCATCGGGTGAGTAGTTGCATTATTTCTAGTAGCTTATAATAAACCCATTGTGTTAATCATCTGAAGAAAAACCTCATTTAATCACTGACCTGCCCCTGTCTATTTTAAGTATTTTTTTAACTTTTAAATTGAGCTAAAATAGATGGAATGCTTTCAAAATTTCCCCTTCTGTAGTATAGACATTTTCAGAGAGGGAAATAGTTCCATTTTCAAAGTACATTCACATTTTTGTTGGTCTTTTTAGGAGATTAGGTATTGCTTCCTCCCCCCCACCCTTTTTTTTTTTTTTGAGACAGGGTCTCTATGTAGCCCTGGCTATCCTAGAACTCACCATGTAGACCAGGCTGGCCTCGAACTCAGATCGTCTCTCTGGTCTTACTATTAAGAGGATGTGCCCCCATGCCTGGCTAGAATATTGCTTAAAATATTAAGGGATGAGTACTCCAGTTTTTTAATCTCTACATTGCTCTGTTATGGACCTCTGTTTTAATTGCTCTTACTAATAAAAAGAAGCTGGGGCGTCAAGGCTGTGAGTGCCAGAGGGGTAGAGTTTGCAGCAGGAGCACACGTGTGGATATGACAGTGCACTGCACGCATGAGCTTACATGACCACCACAGGATCACAGCCAAAGCACTGGCGTCAATGGGGAGGGTGTCAAGTCTCTCCCCTGCCTGAGGAGCTGTCGGGCACTGATGAGGGCTGGGGAGTCAGTGGTATGAATGTGGCCCCTGTGAGGCTGCTTCAGTAGGATGTCTGCACGCATGCACATACTATAGTACTTTGTGGGCTTAGTGGAGTTCATTGTTTTCTTTATTTTATTTTTATTGAGTGTTTTGCTTATGTGTATATGCATGTATGTACACATGGACATGCCTGGTGCCCGTGGAGGTCATAAGTGGGTATTGGGTCTCCTAGAACTGAAGGTGTGGATGGTTGTGAGCCACTGTTTGAGGACTGAGAATCAAACTTGGATTCTCTGGGAGAGCAGCTAGTGCCCTTACTGCTGAGCTGACTCTAGCCCTGACTCAGTGGGCATATAAAAAGAGCACATAAGATGGGGGAGGACTAATGGTGGAGGGAGAGATGAGAGAGACATTGGAAAAACAGGAGAAGGGGTGGGTGTGACCAAGACTCGTTAAGGTATGAAACTCTTGACATTAAGGGAGTTTTTTTAAATCTTTTATTGTTGTAACTTATATGGATGTATATAAGTGCTTTGCCTGCTCACATGCCTGTGCCACTTGTATGCCTGGTACCCTCAAGGGGCCAGAAGACAGTAGTAGATTCACGGCATCTTGAGTTAGAGAAGGTTGTTAGCTGCCATGTGGATGCTGGAGCTCATACCGAGATTGAAGGGCAGCCAGTGCTCTCAACCCTGATCCGAGCCACCCATCAGCTCCTTTTTTATTCTATTTCACCGTTTTTAGGGGGGAGGGGTACAGAGTCTAACTGTGTGCTCCTGACTGGTCTTAACTCCAAAGATTAGTCTGTTCTGTCTTCCAAGGGTGAGATTAAAGGTCTCCCAACATACAATATTTATATGTAATTCATATCTTAATATTCACTTTATGTTTTTTTTTTTTTTTTTATTTTCGAGACAGGGTTTCTCCATAGCTTTTTGGTTCTTGTCCTGGACCTAGCTCTTGTAGACCAGGCTGGCCTCGAACTCACAGAGATCCGCCTGCCTCTGCCTCCCGAGTGCTGGGATTAAAGGCGTGCGCCACCATCGCCCGGCTACTTTATGTGTTTTTAAGAACACATTGTTCTAAGGGTAATCCACAGATTCATCTGCCTTATGAATTCACTTATGGTTCATTTCTTCTTCATCAGAACCCAGCTGAGAGAAGCAGTTAGTTGTCGAAAATGAAACTGAATGTGTCATTTTCCAAGCTATAAGCTCGACACAGCCCAGAGTCGTCATAGGGAGACAGGGAATTTCACAGATGAGAGTGGCCGGTGACCATGTCTGTGAGGGATTGTTTTGATTCTTGACTTATGGGGGAGGGCCCATTCTTTCCCCTGTTGGTAGTACTTTATTTGAGCATGTGGTCTTGGGCCGTATAAGAAAGTAAGTTGAGCATGATCTAGGTGCAAGCCAGTAAGCAGCATTCCTGCAGTTTGTGCTTCGGTTCCTGCTTCACTTCCTGCCCTGACTTCCCCTGACTGCGACCTGGTGTGGAAGCTGAAACAAGCCCTTTCTTCCCTGAGTTTCTCTTGGTCATCGGGCTTTGTCACAGGAGCAGGGAGGAAACTAGAACAACAGGAAGATGTGAGACTTCGGTGGTTCTGCTTTTATGGTAGACACGGTGCAGAATTGATTAGCCCAGTGTCTCTGAGCTTTAGCAAAGAAAGTATGTAAAAGCTTGGTGTGGGGACAGCCACCAACTAGGGGGACCCAGCTGAAGATGGAGCAGGGAAGATGAGGAAGAGATGGTGTGTGTGAGCATATTCTGCCTGGCTTTGGAGTCTTATTTAAATTTCTTTATATTTCAAAAAGTTTAAGCTTATATTTGAAAATGAACCCACTTGAATTAACATTAAGAAAAATCTGACAATTCGTATGAGCTTTTTTATTTTATTTTTTGAGGTTATATCATTTCCTTCTTCCCTGTATGAAGCACTTGAGTCAAAAGCCACAATCCTCGTGATGAGAAAAATACTGCATTTTATCAGAAATCATTAATATCCACCAATAACCGCATTCCATTGCAGGTTTCTTTTCTCTGAGAAGAGGTTCAATAGGTGTGATAACTTGCTGATGCGTTTCTTTTTTCTTTTCAGCCCTCATGACGTATTGGCTACGCTTTTAAACAACCTCAAAGTTCAGGAAAGGCAGAACAGAGTTTGCACCACTGTGGCCATCGCCATTGTTGCTGAGACATGCTCCCCCTTCACAGTGCTCCCCGCCTTAATGAATGAGTACAGAGTTCCTGAACTTAACGTCCAAAACGGAGTGCTGAAATCCCTGTCCTTCTTGTTTGAGTACATCGGCGAAATGGGGAAAGACTACATCTACGCGGTAACGCCTTTACTCGAGGACGCGTTAATGGACAGGTGAGTGACTACAACCAAAGCAGGCACCAGCGTTTTGTTTTTATAGTTTATTAAGGTACCTGACCTATTTGTTGAAGAAACATTACTATGGATTATTTCATATAATTTCTTATTTTAATATTTGTTGTAATGGGTTTAGTCTCTTCATATTTTAAGCTAGATTTTGATTCACTCTTGTTTTTAAAACAGTTAGGGGGTAGAAGACGAACAGGAGTTGATCTGCATGACAGAAACCTGTAGTTTTGTTCTCAGTGTCTCAGATCATTCAGGGCAGCTGAGTGGCACCTCCAGGGTGCTGGGGTTGTAGACATGTATGTACCACCGTGCTTGCTTTATTGGGGGCTGTGTATGACTCAGGACTTCACACATGCTAAGCCAGCATCTACCAGGTGAGCTCCATCCTCAGCAGATCAGATCCTCTTTTATTGGCGGAGCCAGCTTTCCTTTGCAGCCTCCGATGATCCAGTGGCAGCCGCTAGTTCAGTACTCCATCTGAGTTACTTGATGAGAGTTTGCCTACATTTCACAGAACTTGCTGTCCCTGACACTAAGCAGGAGGAGGGCTCAGACAGTTTCAGTGACTGCTAAGTTTTCTGCTGGTTACTTTTGTGTACAGCTTAAAGTTATTCACTAAACTGGCCACGTTGAGCCTCTAACCTCAACTACTACAGAGGCTGATACAGGAGGATTGGAAATTCCGTGCAGCATGCACAAAATAAGACTGCCCTGTTTCAAAACAAAGTTTTGAAAATTGGGTGAGGTATAAACAGAAAATGCTTTTTTGTTGCTTGGCCATCCAGACCTGAATAATCACATAAAAACTATTAATTACAGCACTATTTGGCCAACAGCTTAGGCCTATTCCTACCTCTTATATCTTAAATTAACCCATTTCTATTAATCTGTGTATCGCCACAAGACTGGCTTACCTAGTAAGGTTCTGGCATCCTCCTTTGGCAGCTACATGGCCTCTCTCTGACTCCGCCTTCTTTCTCCCTGCATTCGGTTTAGTATGTTCTGCCCTGTCATGGACCACAGCAGTGTCTTTTAACCAGTGGCACTAAAACATGTTCACAGCATACAGAGGGGCTCCCATGTCACTGGGGCTGTAGTTAAGTGGAAGCAAGCTCCGACCTTTGTACAGGTCAACTTACACAGAGCTAGTGTTGTACCAGAAAGTATAGATAGAAGCTGTGGGGACAAAACAGCACAGCAGCAAATCACCTTGCTTCTCTCTCACATTGCTTCTCATGCGGCATGCCTGAAAATTTACAACCATTGAGAGGTGTGACCTGAGGCTAAAGTTGTCTTCTGATTTTAGAGGAAGTTTTTGAAAAATAAACATGACTTACTTTTCTCTTCAAATATTGATTATAAGTAAAGTTGTTTGTTCATAACAAAAACACTTGAATATTGCACTGCAAATATATTTAAATTTTATATTCTCAGTTATTATATCAAATTCATTTTGAAATAAATTTCAGATTTCTATCAGATGTATTTTTTGTAATTTTCATGTAACATCAAAATAATTTGCTGTGCCTTTTACAATCTTTTTTGTGATTTCAACTCTTAGAATTTTCTTTTTTCTTTTCTTTTCCCCCCCAAGACAGTAGCCCTGGTTGTTCTGTAACTCACTTTGTAAACCAGGCTGGCCTCCAACTTGGCAATCCACCTGCCTCTGCCTCCTAAGTGCTAGGTTTAAAGGCGTGTGCCACCACTGCCTGGCTAAATTTTTCATGTTTTTAATTTTAGAGTTCATAATATTTGTTGCGTCTTTATTTTTTAAATGTGCTTTGGGGATTGATATGTTCAAGATACATTATACATAATTCTCAGGGAATTAATGGAAATTACAAAGATTTATCTTTGCAGGTTGAGGTAGTAACTCAATTGAGAATTACTAATAATACTTGGTTGAAAAACTTAGAACTCCTTCATTATAGTGAAAGTTAAATAGTTAATAAATTAAAGGTGTTATATGGTTCATGTTTTTTATTATGCTTTTGAAAGGTTGTTAATAGCTTGCCAGACTGTGAGCACTTTTTTGAATGAAAATTTTTGATTTATATGCTGATATCGACTTACAGTCAAATGTTGAATAGTAATTCAGGTCCTAATAATGCAAATGAATATTTCTTACAAATTAAGATTAACTTAAAGAGACCTCTTCTCTCCACTCCAGGGACCTTGTGCACAGGCAGACAGCTAGCGCAGTGGTACAACACATGTCACTTGGTGTCTATGGCTTTGGCTGTGAAGACTCTCTGAATCACTTACTGAACTATGTATGGCCGAATGTGTTTGAGACATCACCCCACGTGATCCAGGCCGTCATGGGAGCTCTGGAGGGCCTGAGAGTTGCTATTGGACCCTGCAGAATGTTGCAGTACTGCTTACAGGTGGGCTAAATGTGTGGTTTTTGTTTTTGTTCGTTGTTTTTATACAGGATCACTCAAAAAAGTGATTTAGTTTATTATGTTGAAGTCAGTCACTACCCAATTGAAGGAGACCCCTGCATAGTGGGTGGGGTTTGCTCCCAAACCTGGGCCAGGTACAAATGATGCCTGTTTTCACAGAGATCCTTTATTAAGCAGCTCAAGTGGCCGCTTTGTGACTCAGGCAGAAAAACAGCAGCAAATGATCCTGCAGGGTTTTTTTTTTTTTTTTTGGATTTTTCAAGACAGGGTTTCTCCATAGCTTTTGGTTCCTGTCCTGGAACTAGCTCTTGTAGACCAGGCTGGCCTCGAACTCACAGAGATCCGCCTGCCTCCGCCTCCCGAGTGCCTGCAGGGGTTTTTGGATATTTGGTTTTTAGAGACAAGATTTCTCTGTGGAGCCTTGGCTGTCCTGGAACGCACTCTGAAGAGCAGGCTGACCTCGAACTCAGAGATCCACTTGCCTCTGCCTCCCGAGTGCTGGGATTAAAGCCATGTGCCACTGCCCAGCACCAGGTGTAATTTTTTAAAAATAATTTGTATTCTACGTTCACTGGTGTTTTTCCTGCATGTATGTCTGTGTAAGGGTGTCAGAAGCCCTGGTACCAGAATTATAGACAGTTGTGAATTGACATGTGGCTGCTAGGAACTGAACTCTGGAAGAGTAGCCAGTACTCTTCACTGAAGCATCTTTCCAGCCCAGCATGTGTAACTTGTTTTTTGTTTTTTGATTTTGGTTTTCGAGACAGAGTTTCTCAGTAGCTTTGGGGCCTGTCCTGGAACTCACTCTTGTAGACCAGGCTGGCCTTGAGCTCACACAGATCTGCCTGGTGTGTGCCACCACTACCTGGCTATGCATGTGTAATTTTTAAGAAGAGAAAAAGGGAGGTGTGTGCTAGAATGAGCTAGGTCAGGTGGTGTATTTTGATTGGGTATGTTAATTAGATGAGCTGTGGGGGGGAGACTTTTGTGTGCTGGACTTGGGCAAGACCTTCCTGCCAGAACCTAGGCTAGTGTCCTTCACTGATTAGCATGTGGGAGACAGTTTTGTGTTGAGATAGAAATTAGATTTTGTGTTTACCCATCACAATTTTGTGCAGTTTCCAGGTTTTTTCCTTCACTTCAAAGTACTTCAAAGGAACTACTTAGTTTTTTGAGACAGGGCCTGGTTCTGGTTGCAACAGGTGCAAACCTGGTTGACTTGGAACTCACTATGTGGGTCAGGCTAGCCTTGAACTGCTAGATAGCTTACCTCCTGCCTCCTGAGTGCTAGGATTAAAGGTGTGTCCCACCATGCCAGCTAAAATGAATTTTTTTTTTTTGGTAAATTTTTAAAATTGTTTTTATTGAACTATATATTTTTTTCCACTCTCCAGCCTTCCTCTTCCCTTTCCCATGATCCCCATGCTCCCAATTTACTCAGGAGATCTTGTCTTTTTCCACTTCCCATGTAGATTAGATCCATGTATGTCTCTCTTAGGGACCTCATTGTTGTCTAGGTTTTTTGGGATTTTGAATTATAGGCTGGTTTGCTGTATGTCTAAAAGCCACGTATGAGTGAGTGCATATTATATTTGTCTTTCTGGGTCTGGGTTACCTCACTGAATATGTTTTCTAGCTCCATCCATTTGCCTGCATATTTCAAGATGTTGTTATTTTTTCTGCTGTGTAGTACTCCATTGTGTAAATGTACCACATTTTTCTTATCCATTCTTCGGTCGAGGGGCATTTAGGTTGTTTCCAGGTTCTGGCTATGACAAACAAAGCTGCTATGAACATAGTTGAGCACATGTCCTTGTGGTATGATTGAACCTCCTTTGGGTCTTGAGGAAGGTTGATTCCCAATTTTCTGGGAAATCGCCACACTGACATCCAAAGGGGCTGTACCAGCTTGAATTCCCACCAGCAGTGCAGAAGTGTTCCCTTTTCCCCACATCCTCTCCAGCATAAGCTGTCATCAGTGTTTTTGACTGGCCATTCTTACAGGTGTAAGATGGAATCTCAGGTTCTTTTGATGTGCATTTCTCTGATGGCTAAGGATGCTGAGCATTTCCTGAAGTAGCTTTTAGCTACTTTAGATTCCTCTATTGAGAATTCTCTGTAAAACAAAGTATTTCTAATCCTGTCTTCACAGTCCGCAGTCGCGTTAGATATATGTGGTCTTGAAAATAGAATTAACTACGTTTTGCTTATTCTAGGGTCTGTTTCACCCAGCTCGGAAAGTCAGAGATGTGTACTGGAAGATTTACAACTCCATCTACATTGGCTCCCAGGACGCTCTCATAGCACATTACCCGAGGATCTACAACGATGATAAGAACACCTATATTCGTTACGAACTTGACTATATCTTGTAATTTTATCTTGTGTCTAATGCACAGCTGTTTCACACCTTAAACTTGCTTCTGTCTGATATAAACTTGTAAAACATTGCAGATCAGTGTAGAGCTGGTCATAGAGGAAGGTAGAAATCCAGTAGCATGATTTTGAAATAACTTTGTTTTTGATGTTAAACAGTAAACGCCAGTAGTGACCAAGGACGCAGTGATTACACACTATACTGGAGGGATTGTCATTTTTTATTCATCTTTATGAAGATTTAGAATTCATTCCTTGTGTTTAAAGGGAATGTTAAATTGAGAAATAAACATTCGTGTACAAAATGCTAATTTGTGTGTGTTTTTTGAATATACTTGTAAAATGAAGAACTTTGGTAAAGTTGGTTTGTGTAGAATAAGTGGTTTAACTTCATTTTCTGTCACCTGGTTTACTACAGAACGTAGTTAGCAGGACAGACTGTACAGTGGTGGCCCCTGTCAAAGTCCATTGTTGATGAGAAGAGTCCCTTTGGGGCGCTCCCCTCAGTGTGGCGTGAGCATCCTCCACCGTAGAAGAGTCGCACTTTGGCCGAGCTGTCTTGAATATTATTTGTACTTACATAGCACCTGTCACCTCGTGATGTCTCAATGCTTTGTGACGGGCAGAGAGGATGTATTTTAGGTCGTGTCCAGCTCCTGGTGGGCCGTGTGCGGACAGTGGGAACGCTCGCTCTTTCCTTCAGAACTCTTCTCTCTGTTGGGAACAGTGCTGTCTGAGGATGCACAGGTGCATCTGACCTGGCTTTGCCTTTGGAACCAGTATAATGGAAGGGGCCATATGCAGAGTCCTTACAGATCAGGATGCTGTATGGGAGAAGTAGAAAGTTAAAAGAAAACGCCTGGATTTGATTTGTTTGTAGCAGACAGATATAACACAGTAGTTTACATGTGCAGCGTGAGCCAACATGCCCCTTGGTTCTAGAAGAGCCAAGCATTCAGGCTCTCAATGTTTAAATCAGTTTTATACCCCAAATTTCTTGTTTTTTTAACCTTTTTTCCCCATCACTGTTTTGTCTTCCTCTGTTTGTATTTCTGTTGATTCTAGAGGGAAATGATTCTGCCATCAGTGGGACTAGCGTATGACTTTGCTCTTCAGAACAACTCGGATTTGACTAACCAAGAAGTCTCTCCACTGGACACCAAGAAACAGCTTCTGCTCTGCTTTTATAGAATTGATACCGAGCATTAAATGTTCCCGGGCAGGGCACATAGCTTCTTGTTTTTCCTTGTGTGTAGTCTGACTTCTATCAAACACAAATTCCCAGACCACTTTCCTGTTCTTAGAAATTTTCTAGCCAGGCCCTATGCACTTTTAAATATCGCTGTTTTGTATAGTTGATTTCAGATAACCCTCGGGAATTAGTAATCTTGGGAATTGGATACAATTCTCAAAGTTAAGATTTAATTATCAGTTAAAATACTTAATATAGCTGAAGTTTGTGTATGTAGCTCCTTGCTATTTATGGGAAATAAGCTTTGCGTTAGAAACAGAGCTGACAGAAGACCGTCTGCTTGAGTGACATTTTGCTGATGGAGGTGATTGCAGGATGGATAAGGGAAAGAAATGCTAAAGGCTGTAACCTCAAGATTTTGACCAAATAGATCCTCAAAGGTGTTTGGGTTGTTTGATGCTCTTAGTAAGGAAAACATTCTGTGATGTACCCTTGTGAAAGATGTTTACGTGATGTTTGAACTTCTCGAAGACCGTTCGCACTTTGATGTTTTTTAAGGCAAAGCTTAGGCGGGAAGAATTAATGTTCTTTAGGGGCAGGTCTTTACTCTGGCCCTTTCCCGTTCTTCCTCCCCCTCCCCCTCCCCCCATGGGCCATTGCCCTCTGGAGTTAATTTCTTTGGCTGTTTGATTTTTTTATATTGTATTTTTAAAATTTGCTGTACGATGCCCTGTGAGCATCATGTACCACCAGATAAATAAAATTTATTATATTTAAAGTCGTACTATAACAGTTCTTAATGTTAGTCGACTCTGTACGGTACTGTACTATGTACGCTCTGTTGTTTGCCGTATTCATTATGTTGCTGGCCATTCTAAGTGAAGCTAAATATTAGGGGATGTGTTTTCTTCAGGAACTAAGAAACTGACGTCGGCATGGTGGTACAGGCCTAGAAGCCTAGCACTTGAGGTAGTGGCTGGGGTTGCACGTTTACCTGTTTGGGGTACGTATAAGACCCTGCCAAAAAGCCAACACAACAACCCCCCCCCCCCAAAAAAAAAAAAAGATTCCAGCTCTGTCAGTTAAGTAGTCTGGCTCAGGTTTCCAGCCACAGATCCATAAAGATGTAATACAGCAATCCCAGAATCACTCTGCACTAACATTTCAGGACAGATGATGAGTCCTTTGTCGGGGGGATGCTCTATAAATACACCCCCAACTTCTGACTTAGGTGCCAGGGATACCCATTTCCTATGCAACCACAAAAAAGCCTCTAGATAGCAACTTTTATCTTTTGGGGGAGTAAAATCTTCCAAGGTTGAGAGACACTCAGCTACCTTCATTCAGACTTGGGGGTGTTTGAAAGGGTGCTGGGAACTTGTAGCTCAGTCTGACTTTAAATTCCTGGTGGTCCTCCTTCTACCCTGCAAGGGCTGGGACCACAGGGTCATGCCACCATGCCTGTCTGGCCTCAGACGTTAAGTAGAACTCATGTCTGATGGAGTATGGGATGTGAGGAAAGCGCTGCCTGGGAAGCAGAGAGGATATTTAGCAAATCCCTAAGACACGCTTTGGGTCAGTGGCCATATAAGTCCTGTGCAAAGTAAGTGCTGAAGATTGTCCAGACGTCTGTCCTCAGCACATACATCCACACATAGGCATAAATAAAAACAAAATAAATCTAAAAATATCAAATATGACATCACCATGGGGAGCTGGGGAGTGTAGCTTGGTTGGCAAGAGGCTTGCTTGGCATGCACAAGGCCCTGGGGTCAGTCCTCAGCACCATGTAAGCCTGTGGTAGCAGATGTTAGCAATTTCAGCACTCAGGACACGGAGATAGGGCCAGGAGTTCAAAGCCACCCTTGGCTACATAGGTAGTCAAAAAAAAAAGTACTTTTTTTTATGCTTATGTTTTCCCTGCAAATCTATATGTGCCCCATAAGTGTGCCTGGTGTCTGTGGTCAGAAGGGTCGGGCCCTCTGGAACTGAAGTTACAGGTGGAACTTAACCACAGGTAAGCCACCATGTTGGTGCTGGAGCTGATTTCTGTTGTGTGGAGGAGAGGATTCTGGAAGGTTGAGCATGAGAACATGATTGGCAGGCCCCCGTTTGACTGCAGGCTGATACTTTCCACCGATGGATACCTTTAGTATTATTCTATACTCCCTTAACTGTTAAAATTGATTTTTGAACCTTGGTATTATAGAATTTAAAAAAAAAAAAATTTGTTGTACCAGGAGCTGAAACAATGGCCTCACCCACGTCAGCTCTCTGCCATGCAGAAACACATCCTCAGTGTTTTGAGACGAGGATTTCACCCAGTAACCTCAACTGACTGCGTGTTGGAGAACCTTCCACCGCCGCCGTCTAGTTCTGGGATTACAGGCGTGCATCACCGGGCCCAGCTCGGTTTCACCCTTGCTGTGGCCTGAACTGGCTGCCCTGCATGACACATGCAATTGGTGCTTTTCAGAAAGATCCATGGCTTCCTCTTCACCTGACTGGCTCCAGCCAGTCCTGAGAGCACGGGCTCCTTTGACGGTATGGGGTCTGGCTCTCTTAAAAGGGCGGTGGTACCTGGGATCCACGCTGCTCTCCACTCCACACTCAGGGTTCCCGTCACTCGAGTGTCCACCCTGGTGTTCTGTGTATGCCATGGAAGCATGGAATGGACCCCCCTCCTCATCCTCCTGTCCCCGGCACCGGCTTACTGGAGGGGACGTACGTCCAGGGACTTGGTATGAAAGCCGCCCCCTGAATTATTTCAGACAGGTTATTGCTGCCCAGAGTTGTATGGGAACTTCGAAGCACGGAAATAAGATTTTCAGGCAAATACTTCTTTACTCACGGGGCGGTGAGAGCTCATCCCCAGACTGAGGCAATGGTTTGTTGAAAAGCTTTGCTCAAAACGGTCTGATTTCTGTAGTATGCTTAGTTTCCGACAGGGGGCAGCAACACCCAAGAAAACAAAGGCTGGGCCCTTCTAAATGGAAAGCCTTGGGGTTTGAGACGAAAAGCCCCAGGAAAGGCTGCCAGGAAGGGTGTGTTTTTATTAATTGAATACTAATATGTAACAGTCTTTGAGCTATACTTTTAAAATAATATAATCATCTATCTTATTACAAAGTTATTTAAAAATTGAGTGCTTTTTTTTCTTGTCAGCATCTGATAAACCTACAAACTCTGTCGAGCAGTAATATTCTGTGCTTTGTACCAATGAGAGCGGAGCCGCCAAGAACCACACAGTGTCTTGCTGCTTTCAGGTGAGGGAGCCCAGATTCACATGTGAGCTGTTTGGCTCCAAGAGCCTGTGCGGTTAGTCCTATTTCACCTACTCCTCCCAAGACACGACCCTTTTCTGCTGTATGCTGATTTTAAAAAATTAAAGAGTTAGTTGCCGGGCGGTGGTGGTGCACGCCTTTAATCCCAGCACTTGGGAGGCAGAGGCAGGAGGATCTCTGTGAGTTCGAGGCCAGCCTGGTCTACAAAGGGAGTTCCAGGACAGGCTCCAAAGCTACAGAGAAACCCTGTCTCGAAAAACCAAAAAAAAAAAAAAAAATTAGAGTTATTTGTTCTTACTTTACAGGTAGGAATATTTTGACACCATGTGTGTAGATGCACCACACGTGTGCAGTGCCCACAGAAGACAAAAGGCTGTTAGAACCCCCAGGAAATGAGTTACCAGACAATTGTAAGCACTACATGGGTGCTGGGAACTGAACCCGGGTCCTCTGCAAGAGTAACAAGTACTTTTAACAGCTGAGCCTCCTTTCCAGTTCCTACATTAATTTTTTTCTAATTAAAAATCTTTTTCCAATTTTGAACTTAATTTATTGTTAAAAAATTAATAATGGGTTGGGGCTGGAGAGATGGCTCAGCGGTCAAGAGCACTGACTGCTCTTCCAGAGGTCTTGAGTTCAATTCCCAGCAACCACATGGGTGGCTCACAGCCATCTGTAATGAGGTCTGGTGCCCTCTTCTGGTCTGCAGCAGACATGCAGACAGGATATTGTATACATAATTAATAAATAAATCTTTAAAAAATGATGGGTTTCATTATGACATTTTCATACACACGTCATTGTACTTTGCTTATTTTCCACCCCACACACTGCCAGCTTCAAACCCTGCTATTCACAACAGTGACCTTCCTATAGGCTAGGCTGGTTTAGTAGTGGTGCATATGTTACGGGAGGAACCAACTACATTTTGATTGGATTTATGATATCCCATGAGATGGAACCTGTTCCCGACACTGCCGAAGTGGTTAAGAATCTGAGCCCAAAGCCGGGCGGTGGTGGCGCACGCCTTTAATCCCAGCACTTGGGAGGCAGAGGCAGGTGGATCTCTGTGAGTTCGAGACCAGCCTGGTCTACAAGAGCTAGTTCCAGGACAGGCTCCAAAACCACAGAGAAACCCTGTCTCGAAAAACCAAAAAAAAAAAAAAAAAAAAAAAAAAGAATCTGAGCCCAGGGCTGGAGAGATGGCCCTGTGGTTAAGAGCACTGATTGTTCTTCCAGAGGACCCGGGTTCAATTCCCAGCACCCACATGGCAGCTCACAACTGTCTGAAGATCCAGTTGTAGGGGATCTGACACCTTCACACCAATGCACATAAAAAAAAATTAAAAAAAAAAAAAAGAATCTGAGCCCAGAGAGACCCTGGGGACAAACCTCCTGCTATTTTTTACTTAAAAATTCACAATGTAATTACACCACTTCTACCTTTCCCTGTCGGAAACTTAGAAATTTCATGCGCTTCTTGGGATTATTTCCTGTCTTGTTGGAAAGTCCTTGTCACGTCTTGAGATATGTTCATTTAGTAGATCGAGAGTTTCTGACCTCATATTGGAGTTGTTGATTCATTTTAAATTGATTCTTGTGTGGAACAAGAGACTGTCTTTCCTCCAGCGTGTGTTTTTGGCACCTTTGCTGAAAGTCAGGTGGCTGTGGCTGTGGCCTTTGCGGGTTTTCAGTCCCCATTCCCGCCTTCTGTTTTTGCATCAGGGCCATGCCTGTCTTGTTACGGTAGTTCTGTAGTATAGTTTAAATCAGGTATTAGGACACCTCAGGTTTTGCTCTTTCTGTTGAGGATTGTTTTAGCTGTTTGGAATAATTTGTGAACCTAGGTACTCTGGCAGAGCAGCCAGGGCTCTCAGCTGCAAAGCCATCATACTAGCCTGTTTTTAAAAAAAGAAAAAAAAAAAACAAAAAGAAGAAGAAGAGAGAAAGAATCTGGCGGTGGTGGCACATGTCTTTAATCCCAGCACTTGGGAGGCAGAAGCAGATGTGTCTCTGAATTTGAAGCCAGCCTGGTCTCTGTAGTAAATTCCATGCCAGCCAGGATCTATGTAGAAAGACTTTGTCTCAAAACAAAACAAAACAAAGGGGGCTGGAGAGATGGCTCAGAGGTTAAGAGCATTGACTGCTCTTCCAAAGGTCCTGAGTTCAATTCCCAGCAACCACACGGTGGCTCACAACCATCTATAATGAGATCTGGTGCCCTCTTCTGGTATGCAGGCAGGCATGGAAGAAATGTTGTGTACATAATAAATAAATAAATATTTAAAACAAAACAAAACAAACAACAACAAACAAAACCAAAGCAAAACAGGGAAGAGGGACCGTCCACGTTCAGACCGCCCCACCCTGAGCCTGTCCACGTAGTGTATGTAGCTGGAGAGGCCTAGATCTTTTGATACCTGCGGTGGTTTGAGCAGGAATGGCCCCCCTTGACCCAAACTTTAAATGCTTGGCCTATAAGGGAGTGACACTATTGGGG